CCCGAGCCCTTCCTATACTTCGCCTATTCGCGGTAAAATCCAGCAGCACGACTCCTCCTCCTTTCTGCCCATCACCCCTTTCTCTTTTCCCTACGTGACCACACCACGTAACCAATTAATCCACCCTACCAACCCCCCGCCCCTACCTCCAGTCCCCACACCCGGGACCTGCACACAAAACCTCCCCTCCCCCCTCCCCCGCCCACTATCATCTCATCTGCGGAATCCAGCGTTCGATGCCGCAGCGGGATAAGGACACCCGAAAAAATCATTCGCAGATCGTGTACGGATCCGGCCAGGCCGAGCCGAGGGGGGTCGAACCAAGTTTTAGTAATTACCTTGACAGAAAGCTCAGATTAGCCAACCTTGCAAGGGGACTGTAGTTCATTTCGCTAGCGCTGGGAAATGCTATTCAATATTTGGGTAGTCGTAAGTTAGTTCACAGCTAGAGTTGTTTTTATAGACGGTATTAACTCAGAATAGACGAGAAAGATAGTTCAATTAGTACAGCAGTTGAAAGAATGATGAGTGATGCAGAATGCTCTCATTTGTCAACCTATTCGTTCTTTCTGTTTTGCACTGGAATCTCAAAAAAAAAACCCTAGCTTTTTTTACGTCTCACAGAGGAGGCTCAAGCACTTGTAAACAACTCTGTGTTGTATTGTGATGAATTTTGCATTTCAGCGGCTACTGTAGTGAAAACGAAACCACTGTCAGATTTTGGGTGGACTTCGCTGCCTTCGATCATCGCTTCCGCTCTCGAAAAAAACAAAACAGGAAAACGCCACCACAGCACAGATGAGGATTATGAAAAAGTTCTCTTTTATCAATCATTCGTTGAAGTAGTTAATAAACTGCAGCGTATATCATAGGTGAGAAGAGAACAAGGGTAATTATATATTCAGACTAGTCAGTAGATTGAGAAGTCACGCACTGGGCTTTTTAAGATATTACTAGAATCTTTTATTCGGAGCTCATCAATGATCTAGCAAGCCAGAGAAAGTAATTAAACGTAACACTACTGGCAGCATTGTGCAGCGTTTTGGCTAGCAATAATTAGGTAAAAGTGGGCAAAAAAAAAAAATGAAAAAACAGAATCGAATTAAAAATGCAGTAATTTAGTCGAGCGGAACTAACTGAGGAAAAGGCATTTTGCAATATAACCAAGACTGGTCCCTGGAAGTTGAATAGCATCTTAGTTTCCTGGCAACTCAATTGCTAAAAAGGCATGTGGACAGGATTAGCCTCTTTTCTTCATTAGGGCGCATCCATGATTCTGTGAAATTTACTTGTCAAGACTCGAAATATGACGTTTTATCAGGCAGTTTGCGGTAGCTAATTTTAACTTTCAAAATGAACTCTGGCAGATGTGTAACTTCTCATTGCTACGGTAGGACCTGCAAAAGTCCAGCTGCTGAAGCGGTTAAAGCCTATATGGAATGTATGTCAGTTCAATGAGCAAATATTTCCATCTCGCTATTATTACTACAATTATCAATGGAAAATAAGAAAACCGATTTTTTTAAAATGAATGCCGCTGCTTAGTACTAGGATTAATTGTGAGAGTGCAGTTCTTTGTGCCCTGACTGCTTTGTTAGCGGCATCTGTTATCTATCAATTTTTAAGAGTGATGTGAGCTTTGCTTCTTAATATTTTTTAAAATTTTCGTTTTACTTGGACAGCGGCGTCTTGACAGCTGTGTTTCTTTCAGGTAATAAACGCGCTTGTAGGATCGATCAGCAGCTCGCAGAAAGTAGATATGGATAATTTGGATAGTTTTTCACAAAGGCTGAAAAAACATCGTAGGGTCAATGGTAAGCAAAATATCCTTTTTTTTTTAAACTCAGAACAAGTCTTTCATTTCGAGCCATGCTGAAGACGGTTCTTGTTGTAATGACTGGTATTTACCGAACACAGTCTGCGTGTTGTGTAATAGATTCACTGTGATGCAAGTTACATTGCAGGGTTGACCCAGGCGGATGTATGCAACGAACTGAAGACACTGTATGGTGTGGATGTTTCACAGACAACTCTGTCGCGTTTCGAGTCGAACGAGTTGTCATATACGAATATGCTCAAACTCTGGGAGCCTTTAAAAAAATGGTTGTATGACACGGAATCTGCGGTGGATCTCTGCACAGTAGGCCACACTTACACTTGGATCAACAATTAATTCACTTAGCAGCTGGCAACAACTAGTCGGGTTGCTTTGTCCGAGGTCAACCTGCCGTTGACCATGACATTTAAATCTTCGTCTGGATAGTTTACTAGCTCCAAAGTTTTCCGGACCAAAGCAAAACTTAGCCGTTTCGAGGTGAACATTACCGTTTCATCTCAAACGCTGCCAATTGTAGATTGCAATAAGCTTCCTTACCGACCGAAAGGCAGTGAGCGATCTGCAAAAGAAAAAAAAAAAACAAAATCTTACTAGCCTTTTTTCCTAAAAAAGCATACATTTTTCTACCAGGTGCATTTTAAAGTGGTTTGGCAAAAAGATCTGTTTTTTTTTTTGGCACTATTTGAATGAGCGGTAATTAGCTGCAGGCAGATCGCTTGTGATTTGTAAAGTAGTGCATGTTAAATGTCAGTCTGAGCGGTTCCCTGATTAATCGGATGACCACCCGAAAGAACGCACTCCTAAGTGACAAATGCAACTGGTTGGGAGTGTGGTCCAGGACACTGGCTTGATAAAACTGTAGCGGGCATTTGACTGAATCTGCATGGCGAGCTGCCTTGATCTTGAATGTTCTAAATTTTAGGCAGTTTTGTTACCAAAATGCGCATTTAAATTATTTAAACTGTTGGACAATAGTCTAACAGGCGGTATCCTTTCTGAGCTTTTGCTTTTTTGAACAGAACGAGAGTAAGGCTACGTCTGTATCTTTTGCCGGTTATTTCATGTTGGACAGTGAGTGAAACCAACTGTCATCTTTTGATAATTGCATCATTCAGCAGCATCCATCTGCGACATCTGATGAAGAGCTTCCCACTGCTAGTGTTGCCGGTGAAAACACGTCACTGACATATTTCACAAACGCGCCAAAACGCCGAAGACGGACAAATTTGGCACTGTATCGCAATAAACTTGAGAGCTATTTCAACGCGGATCCTCATCCAACTGATGAATTAATTAATAAAATTGCAGCATCTATTGGTTTAGAAATATGTGTAACTTTTCTTTCTTGTCAAAATTAGCATTTATCTTCGGGAAGATACTGTTTTATCTTTGGACTGATATTTTACGTGTTGGACAGAGGATGCAAGGGTACTCGATTCAGTGATCCACCCCTACTTTTGTGTGCATCTTCAATTCATTTTGCGTGCGAAAAAGACTTCTTTCGCGTGTTGCTGTCATCTTCTGAAAATTTTTTTTTTTTTTGATTCGAGTACCATAACTGAAGTGCTTTTTGTGCGGTGAATGTCTGTGTAACTGATGGCGCAGCATCGCCAAAAAATCGTTTGTTTATGCAGTGAACTTGTCTTATGTTGTGCTGTTTTATAGTTGCGGCAGAACGCACTCAGTATGTGTATGTACTGTAAAGCAGTTGAAGTAGATGCCTGTGAACTGGAAAATACCCTTCTTAAATCTTATTCCAGAAGAGTCGAAAGCATCTGTAATCTGAACTGGCTGTGCTGTCACCACATTCGACATACGATAAAAAAGCCATCTGCTCGCTTCGGGGTTCCTAGGGCTTTTATGGGCAGGCAAAGCCGAGTACTTTGGTGCGAAGCACGCAAATATTTTGATGCCACAGAACTAAATTAATGAACAGCAGAAAGAGTGATTTTGGCTGGGAGAGATCACGCAGCGAAAGTTAGGAAGATGAGTGGTAACATAAATGCTTAAAAGAGCTGCTTCGTCGAAATTGATTAAGCAGTTTCTGCAGGTAGTTCGAGTGTGGTTCAGCAATCGCCGTCAAAAGCTCCGAAACGAAGCGGCAAAGCAGTGTAAGCGGCATAAAGTTCCACTTTTTGTCACTTTTTTTCTCCACTTTTTGTCAGAATATGCTCATTGCTGTCTCAACACGTTATTGTGACCCGCTTGTACACTTTATTTCTATGGATTCGTAAATTTTGAAAGTTTCAGTGCAACCGCTCACGAACTTCGATCATGTCTATTCCGATCATTCGTATGTGTGAATTTTTGAAGCGATAATGAGAAATATCAGTGTCGATTTCTGTATTGCAAAAAATCCAGGTCACATTATTGGGCGGTGGATTGTTTTTAAACTAGCGTTTTTTATCAGTTTTGTCTCAAAAAACTGATTTTTTTTCTCTCTATATATCACTTTATCAGTACTTTTGAATTCTTTTTCTATTTTTTGTCTGATAATGCTATCTTTATCGTGCATTATCACTTATTTTTTTTGTTTAATTCAGTGTATTTTCGCAGCCTTCTTTTTATAAAAATTTAACCTGTTTCACGGCGACTTCACAACTTATGCAACGGTACAGTAAGAAAAATCTGAAATTTGTGACTGCTTGTGGATGTATACGATGCACTCCTCCTTATCGATGGCTGCACTCCAAAGAAAGTGCCACTGACAGCTTTTTTGGTCGTGGGAGACTTCAAAATTGCGTTGACTTTAATGCGGGGAAAATGCTTCGAGAAAACTAAAATAGTTGTGCCCTCACTGAGCATATGACATCACAAGCTTCTCCCATAATCTGGGCACCCTGGTGCGTATCCCTCTCGTGTTCTTCGGTGAATAGCGGTTACTCCGCAGCTAAAACAGACTAGTTATGAGATGTAGCAGTGCTCAGGAAGACAAACGTCCGGCTTGGTAGCGCAGAATTTAAGGAAAAGTAAAAAATAAATTTACAATGAGACAAAAATAAGCGTATCCTATCCCGGTACGTTCATCCTGATGTCGAGCACCGTAATAATACGTACTGGATCCAAACAATTTGGAGGAAATTCCGCTATCGTAATCAGCAACAATTATTAGGATTTTTAAAACAGGACGAATAAGGGAAACAGGGCGAGGCAGGGATGTTTCTCGCTTTGCTTACAAATATAGATTTCCTGTGTAACAGCTAGAAAAACGATGGCTATCCGGACGATTTCCAAAAAGCGAAGCAAGTAATTAGGCGGAGGCAGTGGATGCGGCTTCTAGACACGTAGTTCCGAAAAAGAACGGCCTGTTATAACTGTGTACATAAGCCTGCATTTTTGTAGTATCGAAGATGCAAATCAGCGGACGGATTATTTTGAAGTGATGAGTAGCGCAGCAACTAGTCGGCACTGTCATGGGTTTTATGACAAGTCGTTGCGAACTTGAAGTGGTACAAAACATTCAGGAAATGGTTATTTAGAAAAAAAAAAACTGGTCGGTTGTAAAGCACCAGTTTGCTTCAATCTGAAGACATAAACTCAGCCTATATTTGAGCATGAGGTCAATTATCAACACAGGAAAACCCGATATCTGATTTTCGATTATTCATTTCTCTTTATGCTGTGAGTTAAATTCGCACACTTCAAGTTTATATATTATCCCAAAATTGGATGCATATCGCTAAAATATGCGTATTAACTGCTGACTTACGACCAGCCATGCCACCGACATGCACTTGAAACAAGCAAGAAATTTTCCAAATATCAAATTTCTGCACTCAAGCATTCCAGTCATTTATTCTAAGCATTTTTTTTATTAAAGCACAAAGTACAGCAAAAGAACAGTTCAACAACTGGAGCTTAACTCGACTTCGATACAACCACAGTGTAAGCTTTCATTCAAGAACTATGCTACGCTAGTTGAAGATAACCGTATTAATAATTAGAACAACTAAGTGGATCTAATAAATACAATATTTATCTTATTATGCGCGCTTTTTACGTTTTGCACTCAATTTGCAAATAAAGCAAAGGCAGCTTAGTCCCAACTTTGGCCACTGTCCGCAAACCTTCAGTAAACATGATTTCGTATCAGTGCACTAACAAACTAGCATTGGACCGCCTGGCTGCAAAACATAAAATTTACAAGATGTGGACAAAAATAGTGCAAATTCATCTGACAATAGAAGTTCCCGTTGCAAAACATTTACGAGGAACTTTTGTCTCTCACTGATCTCGTTTCACAGCGCCGAAAAACGTGAAAAGCAGTCTCGTCAGCATTATTCAGTAACTTCTTCATCGAGCTACGATGAGTGTGCGACACTCCAAATTAGTCCCGAATGGGGGCCAAAACAACGCCTCCTGGACCAGCTAATGTTGTTTTGCCCATAAGATCGTAATCAACCTAAAAAAAACTGTCTGAAACATTTTTATAGTTAAAATCAACAAAAAAAACAACACACATGCCAGTGGTTAGAATCAACAACAATAATCATAAGTAAATTAAAATAAATAAGACAACTATGAGACTGAGAAATGATCCTCAGTAGAAGTAAACACTGGACCAGAAAGGGAGTCTGAGGTTTGTGGTGTTGAAAGCAAATCAGTGGAACTCAAAATCACCTGTCTAGCTGCTTGACGTCCTTCATGGATTGCCCAAACTACCAAGGACTGCCCTCGCCTGCAGTCACCAGCAGCATAAACTTTACATTTGGAAGTGTTGTAACGGTCTTCTCCGGTGAGAATGTTGGATCGTACACCAGTATCCAGACCCAGTTGTTCGATGACCGTCTTCATGCAATAGTGGAAAAATTCGAAAAACGTGATAATGAAATAGAAAATGTGATCGAAGTACACCTACTTTGATCAGCTTTTGTTTCATTCTTTCATTTCTTTTTATGCGTTTTGTGCTGTGTAACAGCAGTACAAAACGCATATTGTTACGGGGTTGTC